CGTTTTAATAGAGTACGTCAACAGAATGTACAGTAAGAAGGGATTTTTCGATATTTCCCCCGCGGGGGAAAGAGACAGGATTAAGGCTTACTATGAAAAACTTGGCTTCTATTATACTATTTTAGATGCGGGTTTTTGCGTTTTTGATTACGTTTTAATAGGGTACGTCAACAGAATGTACAGTAAGAAGGGATTTTTCGATATTTCCCCCGCGGGGGAAAGAGACAGGATTAAGGCTTACTATGAAAAACTTGGCTTCTATTATACTATTTTAGATGCGGGTTTTTGCGTTTTTGATTACGTTTTAATAGGGTACGTCAAGAGAATGTACACTAAGAAGAAATTTTTCGAAAAATTTTCTCCCAGGGGGGAAGTGTTATACATTTATAATAGATACATTTTGAGCCACAACAAGACGTGGCGTGGTCTGCTAGTATATATAAATAAGGCTGTCCAAAAGTCAGTTAACCAAATTGATTGATTTATTTCATTTCGGTTACCTGACTTTTGAGCTATAATAAACAAATCGATATTTTTATTTTAATATTAATTCCTACGTTACAATTTATATATATACAGCGTGGCTCGAAAGTCAGTTAACCGAAATTAATTAAGTCAGTCAATTCTGTCAACTGACTTTTAACTATATGTACTACTATACATGTAGGATGGCCCTAAAAGTCGAATTGACTGACTTATTTAATTAATTTCGGTTAAATGACTTTTGAGCCATTCTGTGTATATAAATCGCGACGTAAAAAAATAATATTAAAATAAAAATATATTCACATATTTAATATTAATTAAACTTGAACAATGTAAATATCGATAAGGGGCGCTCAAAAGTCAGTTAACCCAGTTAACTGACTTAGCCGTAGTTCGGTTAAATGACTTTTGGGCCATCCTTTACACACTTTCTCTTGTTTTTCCCCCCTAAATTAAACTAGGTGATACCATATAAAAAACCAAAAAAAGAAAGAAAGAAAGAAATATTTTTTTGTATTTAAAACTATTTAGAGTGTTCAATACAGGGGAAATATTTTTAAATATGCATTTTTAACACCAAGAAATGGAAACAAATAGAACAAAATATAAAAGATAACTTATCAAGTTTAAATTATGAAAGAATGGAAAGTATATAAAACAATTTCCTATTGTAGATGCTTACAAGATCAACTTACCTTCCATTATTAAAGTTTATTTGTTTTTTTTACTAGCCGAAAATTTGATATAAAAATAGCAAAAGTTCTTACAATTTTACAAATATATTTGATAAATTGTTTACATTCAATCGTGTATTTGGTAAAGTGTTTATTTCCTTCGCCACTTGATTACAAAACATAACAATTTCTCATAACACTTGAAGATAAACCAATAAAATATGGCTTGAAAATAAAAAAAAAAGACTTTTAAAAATATTATTTTATATCGAGGCCTATTTACTAATTTTTAATAATTTATTTAAAAAAAAATTCCAGCAACGAGTTGCATAAGTTTGCCGGCAAAAAAGTTAAAATTGTGTGTAGCGCCATCTGTTGTGAACTTTTATTTAAAATTATTTTATATTAATAATTATTATAAAATGGCATAAAGCTTAATTTTGAGGATACAGACGAGTTTTATAAACAAATTTAAATTCTAATAAGCAATAAAATCATTAAGTCCAACCCCACTCGAGATGTGACATATGACCCCCTCTATCTCCCCACCTCCGTGACCTTTAACCACCAAAATTAAATAACAACAATGCCACCAGTACACAAACCTTCTTTCCAATTTTCAGTAATTTTCGACAAACGGCTCGGGAATTATTAAGTTTCAAAGTAGGTGAACAAAATCGTGCCCTTCACACAAAACATTCATACATACAGAAAAAGCCCGTGAATTCTCGACGTTTGAAAGTCCCGAGTCCAAAAATGTAAAAATAAATAAACAACCCTACAAAAAGAGTATTTTTAGTGTTATGTTTTACTGTTTTATATTTAACTGGCTCGGCATGCTCGGGATTTGGAGGGGTAAGGATCGGTGAGATTGGGCTGGATGAAGATGATAAAAACAATGGTCTTACTAACTGAAATGTACATTTATAGACACGAGTATTTACAATAATGAAGCTGCAAAACATAAAAAATTGCTCGGGCTTAAGTTAAGGGAGATTTAGTAGTGGTTGGGGGTGGACATAGGGGTCTAAAAAGATGGGAAACGCACTAGTGTCTCCCTAGAATCAAGAAAACAATTGTACAAATTATAATCGTAAAAATAATTGAGATGCCTTACACCAAGGGTGTTCAACTTTTTGGTTCCCTTGGACCACATTTGAAAGAAAAAACGTTGTCTCCGACCACACAAACTATAAAACTACACGTAAAGCTGACACGAGCAGACTTGCCATTCCAGCTCGAAACGAACAATGAAATAATTTATGTAGCCAAGTCAAATTTTTGTAGCCCAAAAAGTAGCCAATGTACTAAATGAGTTTTTGTGCGCCAAACTAAAAAAAGAGTGGCTCATTTTGGCGTAAAGTAGTCGAATCATTTCATTTGAGGTACAGTACATAATATGCGTAGCGTATAATTTATGGTGGCAGCCATCTTAACTTCTATCATCAGCGCTTGTGAACCTCGCTGTACTAGCGCTACAGCGGAAAACTTAAAGTGAAAATAGCTTAACAGTCTTTTAACAAAGCGGCTTTACTAAGAAACGCGCCCAATGTATACTTTTAAAGATACTTTATAAGTGTACATTAATGCATCTTGTGACAATTTTTTTATTAAAAAGTGTTACAACGTCGCGCGTAGTTCAAAAAATAAGTACATAAAGATCTCAATGTTTTAAGTTTAAGATGTTATGCTGAGCTGCATTTATTACATTTACGGGCCTCTTGCAGTCCGCGGGCTAGACAGCCTTGCCTTACACCTTCGACAATGGGATGCTTTGTCCCATTGTCGAGGGTGTAAGACATTTCACAATTTACTTGTAAAAAAACACCCAAAAATTTAAATAAAAATTTATTGATGTAATTATTTGTCTTTAAGCTTTGAAAATGTAAAATTTTTGGCTGATGTCTATGAGGTAATTTGGTGTTTAGTTTTATTGGTGTACGGCAACGCTATACACCAATAAAACTAAATCAAAGGGGAATCTGCTGAGAGGTGCCTCCGGGAGGTCTTTTATGGGAAAATGGCCCCTATTTAGGTGTTACAAAAGTGAAGGGAATCCGGAAAACTTCGTTGGCCAGGAGCAAACCTACCGAACACTTGTGTTCAGTGGTTTTGTCGTTTTCACTCGGCCACTGGTGGCCTCCGTGGGGACGGGAACCTCATAGAATCGAAGAATATTAATGCCAGATATCATATGGATACGTTGAACTCTTTACGTAACATATATACAAACATATATATTGTGACTTTTATATTGTACAATACAGTATATGGCGTGTCTTAAACATTTAAAACGCTACAGAATTATTTTTTTATTTTTAAAATATTAAATTTCGAATAATGAATAAAGTTTTACTAAAAATAATTGATCAGAAATGCAGTAATTTAAAGCAGAAAATATTTATTTCATTATCATTAACATAATACAATTTTTTTAAAAGAAGCAAAATGTAATTTATTATTTAACTTTTCATTATTTTATTTTTTATTTTTCAAATTAGCATCAGTAATGTCGGGGGTATCTACTGCTACTGATAAAGATAAAGTGAATTTTAATGGTTGAGGTCGAGCAGTATCAAAAGCACTAGTTCCATTCAGAACTGACGAAGATTTTGTCTTATTAAATATTGATTCAGTATTATTTATACCACTTAAACTGCTTTGGGATACGTTAAATGCGGTTACATTTGCCGGAATTATTGATAGTTTATGCAAATTTAGATTATTGACATCAGTTACATTGCTCATATTTGTCAAATTACTTGAAGACGCGAGAGATTTTGACATTGTTCCATTGAGTATTACTGATGTCATATTCTGTGCAGAATATTCCTTGGTAATATTTGACACCCGTGTAATATTAACTGCTTCGGTTGTTGTGTTAGCTGATGCATTACTCAAAGTACCTTCCTTAGTGGTTTCTGATGCAGAAGGTTCGTAAGGTTCGTCTCTCTTGACTCTACTCGAACTGCTTCGGTAGTAGGTTCCATAGGTTTTGTAAGAGTTGCCAGTAGATTGTGGTGATGATACAATTCTGGTTTTATGCACTGTATATTTTCCATTTCCTCCTTGTGTAAAGGTGTTTTTGCTTGTACCTCCACTTACGGAATGAGAGCTCATGCTTCCACTACTTCCACTGTAATATCCTCCACTTACGGATTGAGGGCTCATACTTTCACTACTTCCACTATAATACCCTCCATTTACGGATTGAGGGCTCATACTTCCACTATTTCCACTGTAAGATCCTCCACTTACGGATTGAGGGCCCATATTTCCACTACTTCCACTGTAATATCCTCCAGTTACAGATTGAGGACTTGTATCACCTGAAACGCTTTTTTGAGTATAATAGGTAACAGTTTTACCATTTTTATTATGTGTAGTGTAGCTATAGCTACCACCATTTCCTCCAGTACTATGAGAGCTATATGAGGTATAGGAACCAGCATTTCCTCCCTTGTTGTGTGTACCATAACTATAAGCACTACCATTTACTCCGCTGTTAAGTGTATTAAAATTATACGCGCCATTTCCACCGTTACTTTTGCTGTAACTATATACTACACCCTTTCCTCCATTATCATATGTGTTTTGGGAATATATTCCTCCACTATTTTCTCTGTTTGTGTAATATCTCGTACCATTTGGAAAATAACCATAATTCACAGATATATTCCAGGCTCTTGAGTGACTTACTGCTGGATATTCAAAACTTTGCGAAGATAAATGGTGAAGTTGTGCTGAAGAATTCCATGCAGATAAACTCATATTGCTGTTATAACCAGAATGACGTTGCGTTACTATTGTTCCATTAGGATACTTGTAAGTGTAAGTAAAATTAGCGCGCCACATTCCTGAATTTCCAGCAGGATGTTGATATTGCCAGGATTGATCATTCAATTTTCTATAAAGGCTGAGGTTAAAACGATTATACTCGCCAGAACCATATTTTCCATAATCTTCAGGCGAATAGGAACCAGTTACCCATGATCTATTATACATTCCCATATTTCTTTCGTTTGGATACTGATAAGTCATTGTGTAATTCCAACGTTTATGAGGAGATTCAGATTGATAGCCTCCGTATCGAGTATACGTCCTGTTTGTTACATAATACCCATTGATTCCATGATTTTGACTATTCTCATTATTTGTGGAACCATTCTTATACCATGAATAACTCCAAGCTCCTTGGCCTTGGGGATAATAAGATTCATTTTTTGTTTGCCCGTTTGGTGTTATGGTATAACGTAAAAATCCAGAATTTCCACTGTTTCCTGTATTAGATTCATAATTAAATCTTTGATTTTCATTATGACTTTCAGAATATGGCGCAGTTCCGTTTTTGTGATAAGAATAATAATATGAAGAATAACTACTTGAATTTTCATTGTAAGAAACCACAGAACCATTTCTAAAAGGAAAAAATAAATCTACAGGATGTCCGTTTCCTGTAGGATTTGTTCCATTGATAACAAAGGAATATGTTGCATTCCATTTTCCATGTTGATATTGAGGATAAGTATTGTTATATTGATAATAATATCTGTAAACTGAACCACTTTGATATCCATTAGATTCATTTTGGGAAGGATATTGATATTGATATGATCCGCTTGGTTGAGTTATATTATAATAATATTTAACTCCATTTACCATATAATAAGTTGTATTCCAAGTTTTATGATATCGCATACCGGTAGGATAGCTGCTGTTATATTGATAAGAATATATCGAACCTTCAGGAAAATCTCTATATGATACAACTGAACCGTTTTCGTAAGGATAATAATAATGAAATTGATATCCGGGTTGACTTATATTGTAACTATATTGATATTGATGAGGTACAGTTCCGTTATAAGTTGTATACCACCTGCTATATTGCGATCCTGCTGGAAGTGTAGTATTATAATGATACATATACTGATAAGTAAATGCTTGACCTTCTGGAAGATCTCTGAAGGAAACAATTGATCCATTTTGATACGGATAAAAGAAGTTCATATTACTTTCTCCTGAGTGGCTCCAATTATATTGATATTGAGGAACAGTTCCATTCATCATGTAGTAGTAAGTTGCATTCCATTTATACTGAGATTGCAATGGGCTATAGGTGTGTTGGCGATAATGATAATAACTAAAACCCATATTTTCTGAATTGTCCCTGAATGACACCATCGAACCATTCTGATACGGAAAATATTCAAAATATCCTTCTGGACGACTACTGAAATTGTATGTTTCCGTAGGCAGAGTTATGTTGACTGTATAACGATAGGTTTTGTTGTAAGTGTTATATTGATTTCCATTCCAATATTCTTCATTTGGATAGTATGGTACTCTTGTACCATTACTAGTGTAATAATAAGTTCTATTCCAAATGGTAGAGCGTGATTGATTTTCAGGGAAAGAGTTATTATATTGATAATTCTGATATCCTTGTGGATATTGAATGTAAGAAATATGCGATTCATTTTCATACGGATAATATTCCATTCCAAGTCTATAATTATACTGATACCACTGATATTGATACTGTGGTATTGAACCATTTATAGTATAATAATATGTCCTGTTATATCCTTGTGGTTGATTATTATAATATAGATTCCATTGATTTTGGGGAATTGAACTGTTTAAGGTATAATAATAACTCATATTGTAACCCTGAGGGTATCGACCATTTTGATATTGGTACCATTGAGAATGTGGTACTGAACCATTCAATGTATAATAATAACTCATATTGTAACCCTGAGGGTATCGACCATTTTGATATTGGTACCATTGAGAATGTGGTACTGAACCATTCAATGTATAATAATAACTCATATTGTAACCCTGAGGGTATCGACCATTTTGATATTGGTACCATTGAGAATGTGGTACTGAACCATTCAATGTATAATAATAACTCATATTGTAACCCTGAGGGTATCGACCATTTTGATATTGGTACCATTGAGAATGTGGTACTGAACCATTCAATGTATAATAATAGCTCATATTGTAACCCTGAGGGTATCGACCATTTTGATATTGGTACCATTGAGAATGTGGTACTGAACCATTCAATGTATAATAATAGCTCATATTGTAACCCTGAGGGTATCGACCATTTTGATATTGGTACCATTGAGAATGTGGTACTGAACCATTCAATGTATAATAATAGCTCATATTGTAACCCTGAGGGTATCGACCATTTTGATATTGGTACCATTGAGAATGTGGTACTGAACCATTCAATGTATAATAATAGCTCATATTGTAACCCTGAGGGTATCGACCATTTTGATATTGGTACCATTGAGAATGTGGTACTGAACCATTCAATGTATAATAATAGCTCATATTGTAACCCTGAGGGTATCGACCATTTTGATATTGGTACCATTGAGAATGTGGTACTGAACCATTCAATGTATAATAATAGCTCATATTGTAACCCTGAGGGTATCGACCATTTTGATATTGGTACCATTGAGAATGTGGTACTGAACCATTCAATGTATAATAATAGCTCATATTGTAACCCTGAGGGTATCGACCATTTTGATATTGGTACCATTGAGAATGTGGTACTGAACCATTCAATGTATAATAATAGCTCATATTGTAACCCTGAGGGTATCGACCATTTTGATATTGGTACCATTGAGAATGTGGTACTGAACCATTCAATGTATAATAATAGCTCATATTGTAACCCTGAGGGTATCGACCATTTTGATATTGGTACCATTGAGAATGTGGTACTGAACCATTCAATGTATAATAATAGCTCATATTGTAACCCTGAGGGTATCGACCATTTTGATATTGGTACCATTGAGAATGTGGTACTGAACCATTCAATGTATAATAATAGCTCATATTGTAACCCTGAGGGTATCGACCATTTTGATATTGGTACCATTGAGAATGTGGTACTGAACCATTCAATGTATAATAATAGCTCATATTGTAACCCTGAGGGTATCGACCATTTTGATATTGGTACCATTGAGAATGTGGTACTGAACCATTCAATGTATAATAATAGCTCATATTGTAACCCTGAGGGTATCGACCATTTTGATATTGGTACCATTGAGAATGTGGTACTGAACCATTCAATGTATAATAATAGCTCATATTGTAACCCTGAGGGTATCGACCATTTTGATATTGGTACCATTGAGAATGTGGTACTGAACCATTCAATGTATAATAATAGCTCATATTGTAACCCTGAGGGTATCGACCATTTTGATATTGGTACCATTGAGAATGTGGTACTGAACCATTCAATGTATAATAATAGCTCATATTGTAACCCTGAGGGTATCGACCATTTTGATATTGGTACCATTGAGAATGTGGTACTGAACCATTCAATGTATAATAATAGCTCATATTGTAACCCTGAGGGTATCGACCATTTTGATATTGGTACCATTGAGAATGTGGTACTGAACCATTCAATGTATAATAATAGCTCATATTGTAACCCTGAGGGTATCGACCATTTTGATATTGGTACCATTGAGAATGTGGTACTGAACCATTCAATGTATAATAATAGCTCATATTGTAACCCTGAGGGTATCGACCATTTTGATATTGGTACCATTGAGAATGTGGTACTGAACCATTCAATGTATAATAATAGCTCATATTGTAACCCTGAGGGTATCGACCATTTTGATATTGGTACCATTGAGAATGTGGTACTGAACCATTCAATGTATAATAATAGCTCATATTGTAACCCTGAGGGTATCGACCATTTTGATATTGGTACCATTGAGAATGTGGTACTGAACCATTCAATGTATAATAATAGCTCATATTGTAACCCTGAGGGTATCGACCATTTTGATATTGGTACCATTGAGAATGTGGTACTGAACCATTCAATGTATAATAATAGCTCATATTGTAACCCTGAGGGTATCGACCATTTTGATATTGGTACCATTGAGAATGTGGTACTGAACCATTCAATGTATAATAATAGCTCATATTGTAACCCTGAGGGTATCGACCATTTTGATATTGGTACCATTGAGAATGTGGTACTGAACCATTCAATGTATAATAATAGCTCATATTGTAACCCTGAGGGTATCGACCATTTTGATATTGGTACCATTGAGAATGTGGTACTGAACCATTCAATGTATAATAATAGCTCATATTGTAACCCTGAGGGTATCGACCATTTTGATATTGGTACCATTGAGAATGTGGTACTGAACCATTCAATGTATAATAATAGCTCATATTGTAACCCTGAGGGTATCGACCATTTTGATATTGGTACCATTGAGAATGTGGTACTGAACCATTCAATGTATAATAATAGCTCATATTGTAACCCTGAGGGTATCGACCATTTTGATATTGGTACCATTGAGAATGTGGTACTGAACCATTCAATGTATAATAATAGCTCATATTGTAACCCTGAGGGTATCGACCATTTTGATATTGGTACCATTGAGAATGTGGTACTGAACCATTCAATGTATAATAATAGCTCATATTGTAACCCTGAGGGTATCGACCATTTTGATATTGGTACCATTGAGAATGTGGTACTGAACCATTCAATGTATAATAATAGCTCATATTGTAACCCTGAGGGTATCGACCATTTTGATATTGGTACCATTGAGAATGTGGTACTGAACCATTCAATGTATAATAATAGCTCATATTGTAACCCTGAGGGTATCGACCATTTTGATATTGGTACCATTGAGAATGTGGTACTGAACCATTCAATGTATAATAATAGCTCATATTGTAACCCTGAGGGTATCGACCATTTTGATATTGGTACCATTGAGAATGTGGTACTGAACCATTCAATGTATAATAATAGCTCATATTGTAACCCTGAGGGTATCGACCATTTTGATATTGGTACCATTGAGAATGTGGTACTGAACCATTCAATGTATAATAATAGCTCATATTGTAACCCTGAGGGTATCGACCATTTTGATATTGGTACCATTGAGAATGTGGTACTGAACCATTCAATGTATAATAATAGCTCATATTGTAACCCTGAGGGTATCGACCATTTTGATATTGGTACCATTGAGAATGTGGTACTGAACCATTCAATGTATAATAATAGCTCATATTGTAACCCTGAGGGTATCGACCATTTTGATATTGGTACCATTGAGAATGTGGTACTGAACCATTCAATGTATAATAATAGCTCATATTGTAACCCTGAGGGTATCGACCATTTTGATATTGGTACCATTGAGAATGTGGTACTGAACCATTCAATGTATAATAATAGCTCATATTGTAACCCTGAGGGTATCGACCATTTTGATATTGGTACCATTGAGAATGTGGTACTGAACCATTCAATGTATAATAATAGCTCATATTGTAACCCTGAGGGTATCGACCATTTTGATATTGGTACCATTGAGAATGTGGTACTGAACCATTCAATGTATAATAATAGCTCATATTGTAACCCTGAGGGTATCGACCATTTTGATATTGGTACCATTGAGAATGTGGTACTGAACCATTCAATGTATAATAATAGCTCATATTGTAACCCTGAGGGTATCGACCATTTTGATANTGTATATTTGTTGGTTCACTCTCAGTTTCTTGTTCTGGCTCTTCCCATATGTTCTGTGTTGATTTCTCTTCTTGTTCTTCCTTCAATTCCTCAATTAATTCCTGTATATTTGTTGGTTCACTCGCAGTTTCTTGTTCTGGCTCTTCCCATATGTTCTGTGTTGACTTCTCTTCTTGTTCTTCCTTCAATTCCTCAAGTATTTCTTTTATGTTTGTTGGTTCACTGGAAATTCCTTGTTCTGTTAGTATTTTTTGCCGTTCTTCATTTTCATTTGTTCCTTCTATGGATTCACTGGGTTCTGTTATGTCGTATTCATTAACGTATTTTTCATATTCTTTTTCTGGAGATCTTGTAATTATTTCTGTAGGAAACTCCCACAAGTCTTTGTTTGGCATTTCAGATGTAAGCGGTTCCCTATTGTTTCTCTCTCTATTATGTCTCCACAACTCTTGCTTTCTCTTTAATATTTCCTTGAACTTGTTCATTGAAAGAAGTGTTTTTGACAGGGGAATATAATAATGTAGTATAATTTTTGTAAAATATTGATTACTTGGAACATCATTATTTTGCAACCAATAATTATATGCTACTGCGTTACGCTGTTCCGGTTGATTGAGAAAGAAATTGTGTTTGTGTGCAATGTCATTTGATAAAGCACTCAAATATCTTTGGAGATATGGTTCGTTGTTATATCCTGTGTTTTCGTTCATATTATACCAATTCGGAATGGATAATGGAGGATGTAAATAGAAAGCTACTCTAGTGCTCTGTGCTGGATAACCATTCAAATTCATTCCATTTACAAGCGTTTGATATCCTTGATATAACTGTAATGGGTATCGATCGCTTGAAAATTCTTCATAATTATCAGGATATGGCAAATTCATCAACACGTGATGCATATTAGTTAATGTACTTTGTTGCATTTCATTACGTAATCCTTGTATCAAATCCTTATCCATATTTGGGTATTGCTTTAAAATTTGTTCCATGTATAAATTTCTGTTCAACATTGCATAACTAGTCGCGTTGAGAATTAAATGATGCAAATAGCCTATAAACACCTTTTTGTGTGCAATATCCAGGTAAAGTGGTAGTTTCTTGTGGTTAAGGATCATCGTACGAGTGAAATTATGATATAAATTTGCGTAATTTTGATAGAAAAGAGAAGAGTTATACATGTTCTCACTCAACTCTGTATTTATCATACCCGGATTCATCATTACTCTATGATCCATATAACCAATAATCATTTTATTACCTCTTCTGCCTTCAAACAATGGATATAGAATTTTTGCCATACAGAGATCATCAGTTACATTTTGATTCCTGGACTTTGTGTTATCACCCTCGAATAGATTATGAGGAATTTCCAATATAAAATGATGAATCACTTGAGAAGCATTTTTTGGAATTTTTATGTTAGAATTCAAAAACATGCCCTTATTTAAATAAGAATCATCATCGCCAAAATAGGAATAATCATTATTCAGCCATGGCATTTCAGGAGAGCCATCATCTAAATTATAATAATCATCATCATCGTTGCGGTCGCTTTTCATTAATGGATAATAATTCATTATCCACGATAATTCTCTATTTTGATCATTATACTTCGGATAATCTTCGATAATTGGGGGAACGTTATAATTTTTATGATGCGGAGTTTTGTAATTAATACTTAAAGGTGAATCGAGTGCATTTTTATAAGGCCATTTTGGAGCTACATGATTATCTGCAAATAATAAAAATAAAATCAGCGTTTTAAATAAAATGTTATTGAAAATCTTTTTACTTTAGATAAAATTAACTAAATCACATTTCTTTTTTTAACCAGAGATTGCTGATACGGATTTAAAATACAAAATTGTTACAAGAATTCATAATAAAGATTCCTGTTTGAATTGACTTAAGTCAATTCCAATAAGAATCTTTACTACCAGCACATTCTGTGTTGTGAGCTATATTATAGAATTTAAGGGTATGAAACAGCCAGGGGCGGACTGGCCCTAAAATTTTTGTGTGGAAAATTTATTACCAGCCCATCCCACAAATAAAAAAATGTATTTTTTCTATTTATCTTTAAATATATTCAAAATACAACATTGACAAAAATTACAATAAGCACAAGTCTATATTCTACAATATTAATTTTTTATTTCGAAGTTTGCTTTGTTGAGCAATAATATTAATGACATCATCAGAATGTATTTCGTTTAAAAAATCCTTCTCCACTGACATTAACACGAAGGCTTCTAGATTTTCTTGCGAGATACTNAATTTCGGTTAAATGACTTTTGAGCCATTCTGTGTATATAAATCGCGACGTAAAAAAATAATATTAAAATAAAAATATATTCACATATTTAATATTAATTAAACTTGAACAATGTAAATATCGATAAGGGGCGCTCAAAAGTCAGTTAACCCAGTTAACTGACTTAGCCGTAGTTCGGTTAAATGACTTTTGGGCCATCCTTTACACACTTTCTCTTGTTTTTCCCCCCTAAATTAAACTAGGTGATACCATATAAAAAACCAAAAAAAGAAAGAAAGAAAGAAATATTTTTTTGTATTTAAAACTATTTAGAGTGTTCAATACAGGGGAAATATTTTTAAATATGCATTTTTAACACCAAGAAATGGAAACAAATAGAACAAAATATAAAAGATAACTTATCAAGTTTAAATTATGAAAGAATGGAAAGTATATAAAACAATTTCCTATTGTAGATGCTTACAAGATCAACTTACCTTCCATTATTAAAGTTTATTTGTTTTTTTTACTAGCCGAAAATTTGATATAAAAATAGCAAAAGTTCTTACAATTTTACAAATATATTTGATAAATTGTTTACATTCAATCGTGTATTTGGTAAAGTGTTTATTTCCTTCGCCACTTGATTACAAAACATAACAATTTCTCATAACACTTGAAGATAAACCAATAAAATATGGCTTGAAAATAAAAAAAAAAGACTTTTAAAAATATTATTTTATATCGAGGCCTATTTACTAATTTTTAATAATTTATTTAAAAAAAAATTCCAGCAACGAGTTGCATAAGTTTGCCGGCAAAAAAGTTAAAATTGTGTGTAGCGCCATCTGTTGTGAACTTTTATTTAAAATTATTTTATATTAATAATTATTATAAAATGGCATAAAGCTTAATTTTGAGGATACAGACGAGTTTTATAAACAAATTTAAATTCTAATAAGCAATAAAATCATTAAGTCCAACCCCACTCGAGATGTGACATATGACCCCCTCTATCTCCCCACCTCCGTGACCTTTAACCACCAAAATTAAATAACAACAATGCCACCAGTACACAAACCTTCTTTCCAATTTTCAGTAATTTTCGACAAACGGCTCGGGAATTATTAAGTTTCAAAGTAGGTGAACAAAATCGTGCCCTTCACACAAAACATTCATACATACAGAAAAAGCCCGTGAATTCTCGACGTTTGAAAGTCCCGAGTCCAAAAATGTAAAAATAAATAAACAACCCTACAAAAAGAGTATTTTTAGTGTTATGTTTTACTGTTTTATATTTAACTGGCTCGGCATGCTCGGGATTTGGAGGGGTAAGGATCGGTGAGATTGGGCTGGATGAAGATGATAAAAACAATGGTCTTACTAACTGAAATGTACATTTATAGACACGAGTATTTACAATAATGAAGCTGCAAAACATAAAAAATTGCTCGGGCTTAAGTTAAGGGAGATTTAGTAGTGGTTGGGGGTGGACATAGGGGTCTAAAAAGATGGGAAACGCACTAGTGTCTCCCTAGAATCAAGAAAACAATTGTACAAATTATAATCGTAAAAATAATTGAGATGCCTTACACCAAGGGTGTTCAACTTTTTGGTTCCCTTGGACCACATTTGAAAGAAAAAACGTTGTCTCCGACCACACAAACTATAAAACTACACGTAAAGCTGACACGAGCAGACTTGCCATTCCAGCTCGAAACGAACAATGAAATAATTTATGTAGCCAAGTCAAATTTTTGTAGCCCAAAAAGTAGCCAATGTACTAAATGAGTTTTTGTGCGCCAAACTAAAAAAAGAGTGGCTCATTTTGGCGTAAAGTAGTCGAATCATTTCATTTGAGGTACAGTACATAATATGCGTAGCGTATAATTTATGGTGGCAGCCATCTTAACTTCTATCATCAGCGCTTGTGAACCTCGCTGTACTAGCGCTACAGCGGAAAACTTAAAGTGAAAATAGCTTAACAGTCTTTTAACAAAGCGGCTTTACTAAGAAACGCGCCCAATGTATACTTTTAAAGATACTTTATAAGTGTACATTAATGCATCTTGTGACAATTTTTTTATTAAAAAGTGTTACAATGTCGCGCGTAGTTCAAAAAATAAGTACATAAAGATCTCAATGTTTTAAGTTTAAGATGTTATGCTGAGCTGCATTTATTACATTTACGGGCCTCTTGCAGTCCGCGGGCTAGACAGCCTTGCCTTACACCTTCGACAATGGGATGCTTTGTCCCATTGTCGAGGGTGTAAGACATTTCACAATTTACTTGTAAAAAAACACCCAAAAATTTAAATAAAAATTTATTGATGTAATTATTTGTCTTTAAGCTTTGAAAATGTAAAATTTTTGGCTGATGTCTATGAGGTAATTTGGTGTTTAGTTTTATTGGTGTACGGCAACGCTATACACCAATAAAACTAAATCAAAGGGGAATCTGCTGAGAGGTGCCTCCGGGAGGTCTTTTATGGGAAAATGGCCCCTATTTAGGTGTTACAAAAGTGAAGGGAATCCGGAAAACTTCGTTGGCCAGGAGCAAACCTACCGAACACTTGTGTTCAGTGGTTTTGTCGTTTTCACTCGGCCACTGGTGGCCTCCGTGGGGACGGGAACCTCATAGAATCGAAGAATATTAATGCCAGATATCATATGGATACGTTGAA